AGGCAAACTATTACTTATCCTCTGTTGTGCGTCAAAAATATCTGCTGCTGACTTTCCTCCTGACGTTCAGTCATTTTGCTTATGCCCAAGACAATTGGCTGCAGCGCAAAGCGGAAAGAGTAGATAGTTTGATGATCATGTACTTTAATAATTATGACCAGGCAGATAGCGAAGCAAAAGAATTGTACCACTTATTAACAACGACCCACTCCGGCAAAGAATACAAAGGCGCCAAGGTCCGGGTAATGCTCCATAGAGCAACCCTTCTTTCCTTAAAAGGTAATCATCATGAAGCGCTCCGGATAGGACTCGAAGCACTAGATGAAGCGGAACAATATAAACTACCTGATAAAATTTATAATAGTTACTTGTTAATAGCTATCATGTATGAAGTGGGTGGAGACCTGAATTTATGCAAGGAGTACCTGGATAGGGCCCATGCTGTATTCAAGGCCAACAGGCTTGATAGTATTTACAGTGTTTATTGCATCCGGATGTCGTCTTATTATAACCTGCTGGGCAGGAAGGACTCGGCCCTGCATTTTGCATACAAAGGACTGGACTACGCAAAAAAACACCACAATATCAGGGAAGAAAGAGACGCTTATTTATTGTTGGGCGGCGTTCTGCCCGATAGCCAGTACCGGGAACTTGTCAGGTACAGATCACTGGCGGCAAAAAAATTCATTGAGATAAAGGATTTTGGTTCGGCTGCTGCCCAGTTGACCGCGGCCGCTGCCATTTTGCTAAGGCACGGTCATACTTCGGAAGCATTCCTGTATAGTGATTCTGCCCTTTCTGCCATGAGCATTCCCACTGCCTATACTAGCTCATATGTTTATAGAACGAGAAGCAATCTATTTGAGGCCATCGGTAATATTGATTCTGCCCATTATTATTATAAAAAATATCATGACGCTTATGTGAATGATCTTAAAAAAATGGAAACTGCCGAGATAAAAAAAATCAGTGAGCAATACCAAAATGATAAAAAAGAAGCGGTGATCGAAAGCAAGAATCAGCAAATGATTTTTATTGCCAGCTTGCTTGCTATGATTGTTGGGGCGTCTATTTTACTGATAAGAAAAAACCGGAAGATCAATGCACAAAATAAAATAATCAGCAAACAGGTAGCAGAATTAATGCGGACCCTGGAACAAAAACAGGTACTTTTATCGGAGCTACAGCACCGCGTAAAAAACAACCTGC